ATCGATTTCTCCGGGGAGAAGCCGGCAACCCCTCTTCTGGATACCATCAACGACCCGATTCACATGAAGAATCTCTCCACGGAGGTACTGCGATTTCTCTGATTGGTGAAGCGATTCGATCAAACTGGGTAGAAAAGATTGCAACTTCGGGATTAATTTGGTGGAATTTTTACTGTCCCCTACAGGATTTAGAGCAGTTGGCAGCAGAGCTGAGAGCAGAGATTGTGTTCTCGGTGTCCCAAACTGGTGGCCACTTGAGTGCGAGCTTAGGAGTGGTGGAGTTGGCTGTGGCTCTCCATCATGCGTTCAATTCCCCTGAGGACAAGATCATTTGGGATGTCGGCCATCAGGTTAGATTCCTCTCTTGGTAGTATCCAAAGCAATTACTTTTCTGTTTTGCTTTGCAAATTGGGTAACGAAGAAGGATTGAGTGAAGAACAGGCCTATCCTCATAAAATATTGACTGGAAGAAGGTCAAGAATGCACACCATCAGACAAACCTCAGGGCTTGCGGGATTCCCCAAGAGAGATGAGAGCATCCATGATGCCTTTGGTGCTGGTCATAGTTCCACGAGCATCTCTGCGGGGCTTGGTTAGTTCGTCTTTCTTACAGTCTCCTTATGTTGAAGCTCTTATCCCATCATTTGTCTATTCAATGTTTTGACAGGAATGGCTGTCGCAAGAGATCTGCTAGGGAAGAAGAATCATGTTGTGTCCGTGATCGGTGATGGAGCCATGACTGCTGGGCAGGCGTATGAGGCCATGAACAATGCTGGCTACTTGGACTCTAACCTTGTTATCGTGTTGAATGATAACAAGCAAGTTTCCTTGCCGACTGCAACCCTTGACGGACCAGCCACTCCTGTTGGGGCACTCAGTAAGGCCCTCACCAAACTTCAGTCCAGCACAGAGTTCCGTATGCTTCGTGAAGCAGCTAAGGTAACATGTCGAATGACATCTCATTTGTTCTTCTTTTAAGCTTTTCTAAGCGCACAGTGTAGACCTGTACAGCAGATGAGATAGAATAAGCTAACCTCTAGATTATATTGTTCAATTAATGGTCGCCTAAGACTAAATTCACTGAAAGCATAAAGACGGTAATCATGCTACAGAAAGCTTTAATGTCAAATTTTAAAACTAAATAATAATAAATTAAATTTATGATATATATACCTCTGGATATCATTTGGAATACTTTTCTTCTGATCTATAAACGTACCTTCATCTGAGCTAAAGAAAGCATTCTGCAAGGAGAACTAGATTCAATCCTAAATTACAGACAAAGCATTAGTAAATAGATCAACAATCAATACTAAAAAACTGAAGTTTTACTATACTTGTCATTATTAAAGAAGAAAATTACTGTGATATGTCATAATGTATCTTTAATGACTTAACAATTGAGTCTAATCACATCTAACTTGATTAATGGCTTTAAAGTATGACATGAAATCAGCTTCAATTTTTTATAATACTATTTATATTATATTATTTTTTTAAAATTACTTATTCAGGTAATATAAATATAAATCATAAAGTAGACTTTTTACTATCGAGGTAATTTATAAAATCAGTATATGAAAATCTCATCATTTTAGACTAATTTGATCTCTTGTATATGAGCATATAATTCTTTACTTCTTACATATATTTTATTACTTTATTTGTAGCCTTCTAATATTTCATTTATTGGTAACTCTACATCTACCTAGTATTTCTTATTGTAAAACTAATATCTGGTCTGGCATAGAGGCTTAAACATATAATATACTTCTAACTATGCATCATTCAAAAAATTTATTTTCACATCTATATTATGTAACTCAAGATCATAATAAGTTACTAACGTCATGATTCTTAATAAGCCGATTTGAAAACTAGAAAAAAATATCTTGTTATAATCGATGTCTTCTTTATGAGTAAGATATTTGATTACAAATCTGACTTTATATCATTCAATATTATCTTTTGAGTCATGCTTAGTTTTAAAAACTAATTTAATCGACTATTTTTTAATTATTAGATAACTTGATAATTTTCAAACACCATTCAAGTTTATTAATTTTATTTATTTTTCATCGCATCGCACCATTTTGCAAATTCGTCATGATTTCTATATCATAATATGGTTCTTGTACATATACTACATAATCATAAGAAATGATAGGTCTCATTTTCCTTTAATATTTTCTCAAGATTGTTGGTTGTGATTGTTTAACAAGCTCATTAGCCATGAATAGTGATATCAACAAACCATCTTACAAAATTTTATAATCAACTTGTATTAAATCATAAATATACTAAATTTATCATCACCAAAAGAAGGATAATATCCTAATAATTCTAAATAAATAAACTAAATTTTTAGAATTATAGAAACATAACATGCATCATCAAGATCCATCAAATAAATAATCTTTAAACGTAGACAGTAAGTAACTATTAACTATCGGTTAAGATGATTCTCTGTAACGATGAGTCTTTTTTGCTCCTTTAACTTTTTCGAGTTAATGAAATCCTATTCAGTATTAGTAACATGAGTTGAAGTATCAAGTACTCAAATAGACTTCTATAATATTTGACTCAAAACATATAAAGTTCATCTTATACCTTTTTCTTTTCGAAGTAAACCTTATTATCTTTCTTCACACCACCTTTATTGCTACAAAAGTAGTATTTTACTATAAATATTTTTTTTCTAGGTTTATATAGCTTTTATAAACTCAAATGATTTTTTTTTTTAACTTTTGTTTATTTTTACTCACTCCTCAAGTAGTAATAAGAATATCATGAGACCTTTCTCACTTTAATCTTAATTCTTTCTAAATACATATAGCAGTTAGCTCATGTAAATTTTATTTATTCTTTTTAAATGTTATAATAAATTTTAAATGAGTCATACTAAGAAAAAAGATAATAAAAAATGAATTGTATGAGAAGGACTCACTAGGTCTAATATTCTTGAGATTTATAGCTTTGTTAGTCATATCAAGGATATATCGTAGTTTCTTGAATGTCGTAATACTAATTTGTAGTCAGTTCTTTCATTAATATGTCATTCAGTATACAAATTATATACTGTAATGAAATCTAAATATTATTAATAATTATCATAAAGATAAGCCTAAATAGATATTTTTAATTATTTATTCTATAGAAATTTTAGCAATTAAGTATGTGATCTATTCAATAAGTCCGGATTAGATCTAACATACCTAATGTAAATTATATATGCCCAATCCATTTATAATAATTTAATCCAAAAAATATAAAGACACTAGAAGCACAATAATATAATTAGAAGTATACTATAATAATAAAAATAATATAATATTAATACTTTGAGTTTTTAATAAATATTAAATTATTGATATCATCTCTTTTTTACTTTTGGGTGAAATATTAATATTTATAGTGTTCACGTAAAATTTTATAATTATGGATGACTATTACAATTCTTGTGGAATAGTATTGTTGCAGCGCAGCAATCCGATGTCCACCCTGCACGTTGGATTGTAGCGCTTTGTCGATCGCGCTTCGCATCGTCGGGAGCAATACCTAAATCATCGTCACCCAAGAAGCCATTTGACACCACCTAAGGCACTACACCATTGTCTGCCTACACCCAACTAGCACCATGGACAGCCATCTCACTACGGCATCTCCATTGCACGATTGTCGCACAACCCTTGGCCTCTTACCCAAATGCTAGGCTATTGTTCGCGAGCAGCACCCAGACCACCATCAAAAGGCTCATGGCCTCCGATGACTCTACCGTGGACAGACACATATCTACCAAAAACCTTCCTATTATGCACATCATCCATGACACCTAAATTGGTCTCCGACTGCCATCACGTTGGTGTTGATGACCGCTGTCACAATGCATCATCTATGGCGACACTTTCTTGTCGTGATGCCTCCTACCTTGCCACGACATACAATAGCCTCTAGCAATGCATCCATCACCAAATCCCATTGTTGTGATGACACCCAACATCAATCCTTCATGTTCGAACCATCGCTCTCAATAGGGCTATTGCACCACTGCTATTACCCAAGTCTTCGTTAATACTTTACAGTGGAACCTTGCGACAGTCATGAGACTTCTTGTCATAGTGCTCAATGTCGTGATGCCACCATCACCCTCGGCCACCACGAAAACCAATGCACATCAATGCTGGCGACCAGAGTCCTATCACTATGTTGGGTCTAGCCCATACGTGGGCTTCGACAAATTGGATCGTTTGAGCCCAAATGAAAGAAATTAAAAAGAGGAGAGAGAAAGCAAGGAAAATAGATCAGATTGTAGCGTGCAATGTACGGCGGCGTGCATAGGAAAGAGGAGAGAGAAAGATTAGGTTTCTGAGTTTTCTACTTGACGATCTGTGGCCAAACGTTGTCAGTTTCGGCCCAAATTTTATGTGGAGAATCCTTGCAGAAAACTCTATAATCCTAACGGTGTTGATCTACAGTTTACCCTCTCTAAGGTACTTTCCTGCTATATCCACTTTGTGAGACCTAGAATTCTCTTACGAGGAGATCCACCCTATGTGATGAAGATATGCTATGCTAGAGCCAAGATCTATGATCTTGATGTTATTCTGATCCTCTAGTTATTCTAGAGAAGACCTACTGTAATCCTGTGATCATTATTATTGATAGTGGAAGTTTGAGGTGGACTACGGTCCCGTGGTTTTTCCCACGTTGGATTTTCCACGTTAAAAAGATTTGGTCTCACTATGTGGTTGATTATTTGCTCTATTGTTTATGCTATGCTGGTTGATATTTACATTTGGATATCAAGTTGGTATTTTGATGAGGAACCCGTTTTGATACACAAAGAGGGAAAAGAATATTCCGCTTTAACAGGTTTTTCCCAACAAAAGGGTATCAGAGCATCAGGTTGTTTGGTGCTAGTTTTCTTGTGTGATTGAAATGGAGCAGTCAGATGGTATATTTAAATTGAACTCATCAAATTATTCCACTTGGAGGCGTCTGATGGAAGATTTGCTCTATTGTAAAGATTTGTATAAGCCTATCAAGGTTAAAGATAAACCTTCTACTATGGACGATGAAGAATGGGAAGTTCAACATAGAAAAGCTATTGCCTATATTAGAAGATGGATGGATATAAATTTGCATGAGCATATTTCTGATGAAACCAGAGCTGATGTTGTTTGGCAAAGGTTAGAAAACCTCTTTGCGAAAAAGACAATGGGAAATAGAATTCTCTCCTCAGAAGGCTTGTAAATTTGAAGTATAAAGATGGTGGTAACATTGTTGAGCACATAAGCCTATTTTAGAGTCTTGCAAACAAGTTGGTTGCTATGAAAATGAATATAGATGATGAGATGCAGGGATTATTACTTCTCAGCTCTTTACCAGAAAGTTGGGAAACGTATGTGGTGACTATTTGTAACTCCACGCCAAAGGGGACTCTAACCATAGATATGGTTAAAGACAGTTTGCTAAATGAAGATACCAGAAGGAAAGAACAAGGTGAATCTTCTTCTGGTGCATTTGTTATTGAAAAACAAGAAAGACGTGGAAGAAGTCATAGCAGAAACCCACATGGATATACAGGAAGATCCAAGTCTAGAAGAGATATCAAATGTTTTCGCTGTAATAGGCCAGGTCACATGAAGAAAGAGTGTAGGTTTTGGAAGCGAGAACAGAATGAAATGAAGAAAAATGAAAAAGAGACCAATACAATTGCTGCTGAAGGTAATATCACTATTGTCTGTGATGAAGGTTGTGTTAATCTTGTAGCTCAGGACAGTAATTGGGTAATTGACTCTGGTGCTTCATTTCATGTCATTTCTCATGATGATTTCTTTATATCTTACACTGCTGGTGATTTTGGTAATGTCAGAATGGGAAACAGTGGTACATCTAAGATTATGGGTATTGGAGATATTTGCTTGAAGACCAATATTGGGAGCAAATTGATACTCAAAGATGTAAGGCATGTTCTAGATATTCGTCTTAACTTGAGATCTACAGGTAGACTTGATGAGGGTTTTGCACATTATTTTGGTGAAAACAAATGTAAACTCACTAAAGGTTCTCTGATTGTGGCAAAAGGAAAGAAGATTAACTCTTTTTATGTCATGGAAGCTAAGGTACACAAAGGAGAGATTAATACAATTCAAAAAGGTGAAAGTATAGATCTTTGGCATAAGAGGCTTGGACATATCAGCGAGAAGGGACTTCAAACTCTTACTAGAAAGCAGTTCTTACCAGAGTTGCAAGGTACATCTCTTAAATCTTGTGATCATTGCTTAGCTGGAAAAACACATAGAGTTGCATTTCAGACATATCCATCATCTAGAAGATTAGATGTTATTGATTTAGTTCATACTGATGTTTGTACTATGCAAACTAGAACTCTTGGAGGTACTCTTTATTTTGTTACTTTTATTAATGACCATTCTAGAAAAGTTTGAGTTTTTGCTTTGAAATCTAAAGATCAGGTACTCGATGTTTTCAAAGAGTTTCATGTCAGTGTTGAAAGAGAAACTGGTAGAAAACTAAAGTGTATTCGATCAGATAATGGTGGCGAATATAGGGGTCCTTTTGAGAATTATTGCAGGTTTTATGAAATCAGGCTTGAGAAAACAGTTCCTAAAACTCCTCAACAGAATGGTGTGGCAGAAAGGATGAACAGAACCATTGAAGAAAGGATTAGGTGTATGCTTTCCCACGCCAAGTTACCAAAGTCATTTTGGGGGGAGGCAATGAGAACTACAGTTGATCTGATAGATCTTTCTCCATCAGTTCCTCTGAAAGGTGATGTTCCAGAGAGAGTATGGAGAGGAAAAGATATATCTTATAATCACTTAAGAGTCTTTGGGTGTAAAGCATTTGTTCATATTCCCAAAGATGAGAGGTCCAAGCTTGATAGTAAAGCAAAAGCATGTATATTCTTGGGATATGGTCATGAAGAGTTTGGGTACAGATTATAGGATCCAGTGAACAAGAAGATTATTAGAAGCAGAGATGTTGTGTTTCTTGAAGACCAATTGTTTGATGATGATGATAATATTAAGAAGCCAGAAACCTCTATTTATATTCCTTGGAGTTTGGGTCCAGTTCCTTCACCTATAGTTCATGATGATCATGGGGGAGATGAACAAGAAGATTGTGATGAGAATACCAGTGATGATACACCTACAGTTGATGATGCTGAACCAACTGAACAGCTACCTCCACTACCAGTTGAGATTCCATTGAGAAGATCCACTAGAGAGCGACAACCCTCTACCAGATATCCTCCACATGAGTATGTTATGCTTACTGACGGGGGAGAGCCAGAAACTTACCAAGAAGCTATTCTACATGAGAATAAGAATGAGTGGGTTAAAGCCATGCAAGAAGAGATGAGATCCTTGCTTGAGAACCATACCTATGACTTGGTAAGATTGCCTAAAGAGAAGAAAGCTCTCAACAACAAGTGGGTTTATAAATTGAAAACTGAAAACAATAGCTCACAACAAAGATACAAGGCACGACTAGTTGTGAAAGGATTCAGTCAGAAGAAAGGTATTGACTTTGAAGAAATATTTTCTCCAGTTGTGAAAATATCCTCTATCCGAGTTGTTCTTGGTTTGGCTGCCCGCTTGAATTTAGAAGTTGAGCAACTTGATGTAAAAACAACATTTCTTCATGGTGACTTAGAAGAAGAAATTTACATGGAGCAACCAGAAGGTTTCAAAGTCAAGGGAAAAGAAAATATGGTGTGTAAGCTTAGGAAAAGCTTATATGGACTCAAACAGGTACCTAGACAGTGGTATAAGAAGTTTGATTCCTTTATGATGAGACAAGGGTATGATAGAACCACATCTGATCATTGTGTATTTATGAAGAAATTTTTAGATGATGATTTTATTATTTTACTACTATATGTTGATGATATGCTGATTGTTGGCAATGATGTTAGAAAAATTAGAAAGCTTAAAAGAGAGCTAAGTAAGTCTTTTGCCATGAAAGACTTGGGATCGGTGAAACAAATACTTGGCATGAAGATTCTTCGTGATAGGAAGAAAAGGAAGATTTGACTATCTCAAGAGACTTACATTGAAAAGGTTCTTGAAATATTCAACATGAGTAAAGCCAAAGCAGTTTGTTCCCCACTTACAGGTCATTTCAAGCTTAGTTCGAAACAATGTCCTACAAGTGAGAAAGAAAAAGAAGAAATGTCCAGAGTGCTTTACTCATCTGCAGTAGGTAGTTTGATGTATGCTATGGTTTGTACTAGGCCAGATATAGCTCATGCAGTTGGAGTTGTTAGCCGATTTCTCTCAAATCCTGGAAAGGAACATTGAGCAGCAGTGAAATGGATATTAAGATATCTAAGAGGTACTTCCAGGTTGTGTTTATGTTTTGGCAGTGATGAACCTGTGTTAGAAGGTTACACTGATGTAAACATGGCAGGTGATACTGATTCCAGAAAGTCCACTTCGGGATTCTTGATGACATTTGCAGGAGGAGCAGTCTCTTGGTAGTCTAAGTTACAGAAGTATGTTGCTCTATCAACCACAGAAGCAGAATATATAGCAATTACTGAAGCCTGCAAGGAACCTTATGGATGAAAAAGTTTCTACAAGAATTTGGCTTGAAACAGGAAAGATATACTGTTTACTGTGATAATCAGAGTGTCATTCACCTCTCTAAGAATTTAACATACCATTCTAGATCCAAGCATATTGATGTGAGATATCACTGGATTCATGATGTGCTTGAGATGAAAGAATTACAATTGGAAAAAGTACATACCAATGATAATGGTTCAGATATGTTGATAAAGTCTTTGCCTAAGGAGAAGCTTAAAGCATGTAGGCGAAGAGCGGGCTTGGTACAACCCACCATATGAGCTGGAGGGGGAGAATTGTTGGGTCCAGCCCATATGTGGGCTTGGAAAAATTGGGTTGTTTGAGCCCAAATGAAAGAAATTAAAAAGAGGAGAGAGAAGGCGAGGAAAATAGATCAGATTGAAGCGTGCAACGTGCGGCGGCGTGCAGAGGAAAGAGGAGAGAGAAATAGAGAGAGAAAGATTAGGTTTCTGAGTTTTCTGCTTGACGATCTGTGACCAAACGTTGTTAGTTTCGGCCCAAATTTTATGTGAAGAATCCTTACAGCAAACTCTACAATCCTAACGGTGTTGATCTACAGTTTACCCTCTCTAAGGTACTTTCTTGCTATATCCACTTTGTGAGACCTAGAATTCTCTTACGAGGAGATCCACCCTATGTGATGAAGATATGCTATGCTAGAGCCAAGATCTATGATCTTGATGTTATTCTAGAGAAGACCTACTATAAACTTGTTATCATTATTATTGATAGTGGAAGTTTGAGGTGGACTACGGTCCCGTGGTTTTTCCCACATTGGGTTTTCCACGTTAAAAAGATTTGGTCTCACTGTGTGGTTGATTATTTGCTCTATTGTTTATGCTGTGCTGATTGATATTTATATTTGGATATCAAGTTGGTATTTTGATGAGGAACCCATTTTGATACACAAAGAGGGAAAAGAATATTCCGCTTTAACAGGTTTTTCCCAACACACTATGACTCCCTACGATGTCGTTGATAGTAGTCTGCTACTCACAATAGGGTCGACGACAAAAACAGATCGTTGCCCTATGTTGTATAGTCACAGATAGTAAGATATCCACTGACATAAGTGACCATTCACTGAGGACCACTTACTACAGAACCCTCAATGTCATTGTCCTCCTATGCCACCGCACGCAGCCCCACTATGGCTTATACAGCCATTGCATGCAACACTACCGCTTGCACATTCATGGCTTATACAGCCCCGCTCGCATATTCATGGCACATTCATGACCAAAGCAGACCATTGGCCTTAATAGCAACATTGTTGACAGTAAATTGCCGACATAGCCTATCGACCAAGATTAGGCAGCAACCTTCCATCCACGATTCCACCCGTGTGGACGAGAAACTTTCATCACCCACAAGGAGGCGATTATAAGATAAACAAAGCATATCAAATCACCTTTCACAAGCAAATGACAATAACACAAAACAGATCTAATGCTTTTATGATCTAATGTATTTGATTTCAAAATAGGCTTTGAGACTAATTATAAGCATAAAATTTGTAATCTTGCTATTGTTACGCGAAAAACTTTAATGTCAAAATCCAAAATCAAATAACAATAGATTAAATTTAGAATGCATACCCTTCGACGCCATTCAGAATATTTTTTCTTCTAATCTATAAATGCACCATTGTCCGATTCGAAGGAAATGATTTGTAAGGAGAACTATACTTGTTTTCTCATATTTTCCTATCCTTTTCTCTTCTGTATATAGTCCTGAAGAGGTTCTATCTATTTATAGATGAGACTATAGGGTGTAGGATAAGCAATCAGGAGAGCCTCTCCTGTCAAAGTCATCCCAATAAAGAATTCTATCATAATTAGATTTCATTTCTATGGACAAACAACCTTAATCAAAATCCAAACAAAACTATAATATATCTTATCTAATTAAATAGAAATATATAATGTAACAGAATTAACTTTTTCTCTGTTATTATGTCGTATACAGCTTGTCTGATGGGATCAATATTTCGCAGAATCTCACAAAGCAGATTGGTGAGCGAACACACGAGATTGCTGCAAAAGTGGATCAATATGCTCGAGGAATGATAAGCACTGATGGGTCTTTGTTATTCGAAGAGCTCGGTCTCTATTATATTGGACCTGTAGATGGGCACAATGTAGAAGACTTGGTTACCATCTTTGAGAAGGTGAAGTCTTTGCCTGCTCCAGGACCTGTCCTTATCCATATTGTGACAGAGAAAGGAAAGGGGTATCCCCCTGCTGAGGCGGCTGCTGACAAAATGCATGGTGAGCATTATTTGCTGCTTGTAATGCATGTGCCCGACTTCTTCCCGACTGTCATAATGATCCATGTGTTTCTTGCTGTAGGTGTTGTGAAGTTCGACCCAAGAACTGGGAAACAATTCAAGTCAACATCATCGACCCTTTCATACACTCAGTACTTTGCCGAATCTCTCATTAAAGAAGCAGAGGCCGACGACAAGATTGTGGCCATTCATGCTGCCATGGGAAGTGGGACGGGGCTGAACTTGTTTCAACACAAGTTTCCTCAAAGATGCTTTGATGTGGGGATTGCAGAGCAGCATGCAGTCACCTTTGCAGCCGGTCTGGCCACCGAAGGCCTCAAGCCTTTCTGTGCCATCTATTCCTCGTTTCTGCAACGAGGATATGATCAGGTACAATTAAATTCTTCAGACCGTAGGAGCTTATCGTCAATTTCTAACACATTACTCTTTTTTGAATACATGAAGGTGGTTCATGATGTGGATTTACAGAAGATACCTGTCCGTTTCGCTCTGGATCGAGCTGGTCTTGTCGGAGCTGATGGACCTACACACTGTGGAGCATTTGACATCACGTACATGGCATGTTTGCCCAACATGATTGTAATGGCTCCAGCTGATGAAGCTGAGCTAGTGCACATGGTCGCAACAGCAGCAGCAATCGACGACAGACCTAGCTGCTTCAGATTCCCAAGGGGCAATGGAGTTGGTGTGATGCTTCCTCCGGGCAACAAAGGCACCCCTTTTGAGGTTCCCTCTATCTTCTCGACGAGTCATGAAGGATCATAACAAGAAGCAACTTAGTCACTTGTTTACATACTTTCAACAGATTGGGAAGGGAAGGGTTCTGATGGAAGGAAACAGGGTGGCCATTCTTGGATATGGTTCAATAGTACAGACATGCTTGAAGGCTGCAGACCCACTGAGAGCCCGTGGAGTTTTTGCCACCGTAGCTGATGCTCGTTTCTGTAAGCCTCTGGATGTGGGGCTCATAAGAAGGCTGGTAAATGAGCATGAGATCTTGATCACAGTGGAGGAAGGCTCCATTGGAGGTTTCGCATCGCATGTCACTCACTTCTTGAGCTTGAGTGGCCTCCTGGATGGCCGCATGAAGGTAAAATTTCCTTGAGCAAATCGAACAGACTACTAATCTGACTGTAAATCTTCGATATCTTCAGATTTTGATTTGATTTGTCTTGCAGCTGAGGCCAATGGTTCTACCAGACCGATACATCGACCATGGATCACCTCAGGATCAGATTGAAGCAGCTGGACTTTCTTCAGGACATATTGTAAGCACAGTGCTGAATCTGTTAGGCAGGCAGAAGGAAGCATTATACCTCCATTGAAGTTGGACGACTTTGGACGGGAACGTTACTAGAAGTGGAGTTGCTATCTCCAACATTGTCTGCAGACCATTATAGCTGGTTTTTTGCTTGTGTATGTAAGGTTAGATGTCAAATACCTTTTCTTTTTGCCGTACTAAAGGCCTCTATTGAACTTGCAACGAAAAATGGATCTGCTGATTGTTTAGAGAGGCTGCTAATGAGTCTCCTCCATCTAAGATTTTATAATATTCTCACCTATATACTGCTGTATTTCTATGGTATAAATAAAAGATAATTTCTAAGGTATGAAATTCTGGAATTCATCACTTGTGAAAATATTTGTGATCTTGTGATCCTTCTTGAGCAAAGCTTCCTTGTCTTCCAATTTTGGATTGAGCACCAATTGATTTTGTCCGGGACAATAAAACAAGAAATGCTGTGCCAATTGAATTCAACACTTTATTTTCTTCATCGTGGTTGTGGTCTTTCATCTTCATCATGTTTCTACATCAGAGGAATTTTATTTGTGATTATATAACTTTTAGAAAAAAGAATTGCAGGATAATGGATCATACCTGTTAGGAGTTCTAGAACTCTTGTGAATTGGTTATCCAATCAAAATAGTTTTTTGGCTTGCTCTAAGTTTGAACCTTAATTGTTCTTAGGACTCTGTTCCTCTTTTGGACCAAAAGAATCCTGCAATTTACAAGAAGAAACAAATTTGATTTAAAAGATCTACTAATGTCCTCAAAAATTACTAAAGAATGTTTTATTTTGAATGATCTTTCTCAAACTATGCTAATCATAATTAATTCTGACTCAGTTGTTTCCACTGTTTTCCTTCAATTATTTCTCCTGGTAGCCACCTTAAAGTTGTTTTCTTTAGAACAAGAAGATAAAACAGTGTGTGTGTGTGTGAGAGAGAGAGAGAGAGAGATGTTTTCTCAGGAACAAGAAGATAACAGAGTAAAAGAGAGATGTTTTCACAGGGAAAAAGAAAACACAGTGAGAGAGAGACTGTGTGTGTTTGTGAGTTCTTTTATATAAAAAAAACAGAGTAAAAAAGAGATGTTTTCTCAGGAAAAAGAAGATAACACATAGTGAGAGAGAGAGAGAGAGAGAGAGAGAGAGAGAGAGATTTTGTGTTTTGACTCAACAAGTTCTTCCAAACTAAGTAGCATCTTCTGCTGCTAGCTAGCTAGAGATTTTTTATGCAATCACTGTGGCGAACTACACCTCTTTTATTGATCGGTCACCATAGAATGCAGTGGTAATTGCCTTCCTAATCTCTTCCTACGCTACCACAACCTGCACGCTTCACAAGATGCCTTCCATGTCCTTGCTTGCTTCCTTCAGCTCTCCCGTTCCCTTGTACCGGTAGAAATGCGCACAAACCACGAAGTATAGCAGATTGCCCGCCCCTAAGACCGCTATCAAGTAGTAGAAGTAGTCCACCCTGCCGACGTTGATGTTGTCTTCCAGCCAACTCGCTTGCCCGGGCCCTGCGGTGCTCTTCCGGATGAAGGTGACGAGGAACGTGCTCACGTAGCTCGCGCCGGCGAGGCTGCAGTGGAAGAGAGACCCCGCGATCGTCTGCATGTGCTCCGGGAACTGCCTGTTGTAGAACTCCACCTGCCCGACCGCGTTGAAGGCCTCGGCGATGCCCATCAGACAGAGCTGCGGCGCCAGCCACATCGCCGACAGGGGCGAGCTCCCGTTCACGCCGCCGTGGGCCACAGCCGAGTCCCGCCGCTTCTTCTCCACCAGACCGGCCACCACCATGGATATTATGGCGACTACCATCCCCGCGCCTTGCCGCTGCAGGAGGGTGATCCCGCTCTCAATGCCGGTGAGGCTTCTGGCCATGGGAACCAGGGCTCGGTCATAGACGGGGATGAAGAGGATGATAGCCAAGAGGGAGATGATGCCGAGGGAACCGGGCGGGACTTCGAAGCTCGGACCGAGGTGTCGGTCCATCTTTAGCGATTGGAGAGCTGCGAACGTCCATTGTTGCGACAGCGCCACGAAGCAGATGATGCCGGAGGCCCAGATGGGGATGACTCGCATCGCGCACTTCACCTGTTCGATCTGATGCACGCTGCATAATCTCCAGGGATCTGCAGGTTGGCCGTCTTCCTTCCTCTCCCCCTCACATATTATGGCAGCTTTGTTCAAGAACCTGCAAAGGAAGCAGTGACACAAAGCTCGAATCCTTCTAATGGACAGTCCTACTACATCCATCAAGCACCAAAGAGTCGGGAGACTTCTACCTGAACTGAAGCGTGAGGGGAAGCTTCATCTCCTCCGCACTCTCCTGAGCCAGGTTGCTATACAACAGCGACTCCTGCTGCACCGCATCATTCGGCGAAGGCAGTCGAAGCCTCCGCTTCCTGAATGCAGCGACAAGGACCTGCGCGACGCCGGAGAAGACGCTGCCCTCCGGCGGCACGAACAAGTAAAGCTTGACCCCCGCGAAGAAGAAGACGATAGCGAGTAGCATCAGCCCGGTCGGGATGCCGAATCCTATGGCCCAGCTGACGCTGTCTTGGATATAGACGACCACCGTCATCGCCACCACCGTCCCGGCGGTCGAGATCGAGTAGTACCAGTTGAAGAAGCTGTCGAGGCCGCGCTTCCCCCGCTCGGTGGTGCGGTCGAACTGGTCGACGCCGAAGGGGAGGCTGCAGGGGCGAACGCCTCCGGCGCCGAGGACGAGGAGGGCGAGGGACAGGAAAAGGACGGCCAGCTGGGAATTGGAGGGGCCCGGGCACTGCCCGGATTCCTCCGCCGCCTGGCTGCAAGGCGGCGGCCGGAGTTGCGGCGCTGCGGCTGTCAGGGTCAGCACCACCGTGCCCTGTACTAATCAATTATGTAATTAAATTAACTAAGTATGATCTGAAATAGATTAACTTAATACGACCAGCAAATCTATCTAATCCAGTTTTATTGTTGGCTTCAGTGTGTGGTCAACTAAAACAATAGTATATTGGATCTGCAGTCGAAGGTTATTTACATATTATCTTTATAATTAATTTTTTAATATATATTTTTTAAATTATATTGAGAAACTTTATATTCTTATAGAATTTAAAATACAATTTTATAAAATTAAAAATTAAAAAAATTTATTGAAGCAACAAATTAAATATTTTACTTTCATAAAAATACCTATATAAAATTAAAAAAATTTAATTTTATAAGGTTAAAACTAAAACAAATTTATTAAAGCAATGAATTAAATATTTTATTTTCGTTGTATAAAAATTTTAATATAATTTTTTTAAAACTATATGGATTGAAATAAAGGTAACTGATTAAATCTTTATTAGCACTCACACGATAAATTATTGATTACAGTGGACATGGAGTTGACCAGAATGCAGTGACAATGAATGGCACACGGAGAAGAAAGAAAGGATGGGATGGAGGAGGCACCAGGAAAGTAGCGATGGAGGCGACGGCGAGAGTGCGAAAGCGGCCCCAGAAGGCGTCGGAGACGAAGGCACCGAGTAGCGGCGCCAGGCTGGTGGTGCCGCCGAAAACGTAGCACAGGTTGGCGGCGGCCATCTGCTTCATATGGTAGATCTTTACCAGGTACACCATGAAGTTGGCCGTCAGCCCGTACGTGGCCACCCGCTCGAACGCCTCGTTCCCTGCGTACTACTTAAGCCATAAGCCAGGCGCGGAAGGACGAAGGAGCTACGGCGAGGTGGAAACGTACCGATGATGTAAGGCATTGCCTTCCATCCTCGAGGCCGCCTCCTGTCAGAGCGGAGGTCGTCGCCGGTGGCAGCTTCTTGGAGCAGTGGCCGGTTCTCCATGGACTTCTCCTCCTCCTGCTTCGGCTGCTACTTGTTGGACCCTTCCTTGGCGAACCTCATATTTAAGATGAGCACATGTAAAAGATACAAAGAGCATGTGCAGCTGAGTGGAACACACGCAAAGTTTATTTTCTTTTCCTTCGAAAAGTAAAATTATATTACTAACTGTAATGAGTACCTCTCTAATCACATTAGAATTTGAGCAAAAGAAGATTGTTAAATCTAAATGATCTGATAAAAGATGATAGCCAAGTGGTTATTCAGTAGTTTTTTTTTCTTTCTTTCAAATGGTAAATGATGAGAATTAGATTGAATATGAAAGTCGAAACTTCGAAGATTGAATATGTAAGATTTTAATATTAATGTAAGTATTTAACAGAGATAAATATAAGTTTCTACTCACAGAGCTTCCAATTCCAAGCAGCAAAAAGCATCAAAAAAGAAAAAGAATGAGAGATATACATATATTTCGGTAATCTTTCAAATAAAAGGAGGAGGCTGATGTAAAAGCTTTCAATAGGATATTTTCACACGAGGAATAATTAAAAGTTTTCATAACCTACAAATATTTAGGCCCAAAATATACACAAATGAAAAATTATTCAAAGTGTCCAGTTCACTTGATTCCATGTATAAAGATTAATAGCCAAGAGAGAAAGAGAATCATATCCATAAATACATTGGCCATTGTGTAATATTAAATATTACATAAATACTTAATACTAATTATGAACGTCAACGTGAAGTACCAAAAGATACCTTGTGATCTATACATATATGTTTGATGCATTGACATTTGATCTAAATTCTAAACTATAAACGTTGTACCAATCCAAGGACATAACAAGTGGAGATCGATTAACTTCGAGCCACTGGGGATGGTGATGAGCAGGAGTGGCCATGTCTGGTTAGCTTCCTTCACAAGAATGTGATAGGTTTGCTTCCACGACTCATTTGTCTCATGTGAAGAAGATGTGTTGTCCCTTGTCGTTGCTTCGCCGCATCAATTTTAAGCCTGAAAAGCCAATCAACTTACCGCATAACATGATTTCGTATTTCCTTTTCATCCCATGGGTGACGAAAAGACTAGAATGGTGGGTCCCATGGAGTCATATTCTTTACAGACAAAAATTTCATATGGCACTGGCACTCTAAAGTAGTAGACGAAAAAAAAAGGATCAATGTACACCACTTTATCTTTTTATTTTATAAAAAAATATTTTTAATACTCTAACTTAGGTATCACATGTAATATAAAGAAGCAAACTTACTACAAAGATTCTATTTTAAAGAGATTATTTCCACCCGAGACAATGGAAAAATGAAGAATATATGGATAAGATGAATAAGTCTTTCTCTAAAGTTGTAGGATTTTTGAGGGAGGCTTGGGAGGGGCGTGGATGCTCTTCATAAACCAATAGATCATTTGCATACATTGCAAACCCTAAGAATTAACATTTACAATAATTTTTAGTTGTTGCTCCACTATCATCTCTATCCTCTTGTAATAGCGCGATACGTACCAATTGTCATCGCTCCACCAGGAGCACCTTCATTAGTACAAACAGTCATTACTTTCAATTCCATCATAGCTATAACTATGTGATAGCTATGATCACATATCAAAAAATTTCGTATAACAACATTATAACAAGTGTTCAAAGTTTAAAAATTTAGTGATAAATTTTTTGTCACAAATCATGGTTGTCATTAAAATTTTTTTTTGGTGACAACTTTGTCGATAAATTATTTTTAGTAGTCTTTCAAATGATTAAGTTGTTATGTGTGTATGAGAATTTTGAAAAAAAATTCAATGATTAAGTTGTTATGTGTGTATGAGAATTTTTGAAAAAAAAAATTCAATTTTGATAATTTTTTGAATACTGTTTAAATTTTGAAAAACTCACATAGAGCTTTTTTTTTTGTTTTAATGATTATTCTACTCTTATCGACCATCATTTTTGTCTAACCAATCAGCCTCCGCTGTCTTGAATAGTTGCCCATCACTTATGGTGCAAGCATGATTGCACATGGGCTGGCTACACCAACCACCACCCCACTACTCCAAACATGCGCCCGTCGTCTCGCTATCATAAACTTAATTGATTTTGCTTAAGTTGTGCGGTACCCTTACATGTCCGTTCGTAAAGGGTCAACATCCTCGAAATATATTAAGACCCCTTAAGGACCTACAAAAGAAAAGACAAGTTAAATGAAGTATTTAATTCAAAATCTACAAGTAGTTATTTCAACAAACACTTGATAGACAATGTAAATTATAGATATAAGTTTCACAAGCTCTGAATGATAATATGACATAATGTTAGAGATAGTCTGCTATGATCAAAAGTCCCCACATAATACTATTGTGAAAAGATAGCAAACTAGCACTAGACACTACCCAAAGACCCATCCAACCATATGCCACCCAGGTAGCTCCCAGGTAGCTCCTGGGTGCTACGCTGGCTGACACTATGTACTACTTTATAAAGTCTTAAAATCCCCAAAATAGTTGCTTAAATGATTTTTTTTGGACTATTTTGCCTCTAGATGATAATTACATACAACACTCATTTATAAGCATGAAACAACCATAAAAGCTAATCAAAATATAACTACTAAGTCTATTGTAAGCCTTCTACATGTGTAAAATATGAATAAAACTAAAAGATATGTGTATACATAAGTATTATATTAAACATTTTGGCTATATCTTTGTCTATGACATTCTCCTTCACTTATTCCTTCGATATCCTTGTCGAAGCCTTTACGGATGCTACATCTCATTACCTTTGTTAAATTCTCAATCTTCTACTCCAATTACAATTGCACTATGTCACTGCTGTTGAGTAGTCAAACTTTGATCACTCATGTTGCTTCAACTCGCCAATGACTCTAACTCTAGTATAGGGTCAGTCAAGTTATGTTAATCCTTGTTGGTTCCTCCAAATCCTTTAGATAAAGGAAAAGACCTTCATTCTTATGTATTGTTCTCTTAAACGTCTCATGCCACTTGAATTAGGTAAAGCATGTTGGAGTTTTTGCTAGTCATAGGTGCCTTACAAACTAATCACGTGAGTGATGGCACATGAGACTTGACATTCAGTTTTTTCTTCTTATTATAATTTAACATTTATCACTTTATATTACTTGTTACATACATACATACATACATATATATATATATATATACATTAATATATATACATGTATATATATATACATATATATATATACATATATATATATATGTATGTATGTATGTATGTATGTATATATATATATATATATATATATATATATATATATATA